ATAATCTTGGCTTTTTTCCCGCAACCCACAAGCCAGGACAGCTCATTGAATTTCTACGGCCCGCAGCGGCAACAAATGTTTATCCGATTATCACGCACGAGGAAATAATACATGAGTTAAATAAACTACAAGTTCATCCTATCTGGCTGGAAAAATCGAGGATACGAGAATGTATTCTGCTTTAGAAGGCAAGTGTATGTCAAAGCTAACGATATCCAGAAGATACCCATGATGCAATACAGGCAAAAAGGAAAAGCATGGTCAGTCCTAAATCTGTAATCAAATGCCGGCACAGGCACATGTGCTATAATTAGTTTTTTAAAATTCATCAAAAACCTAAATGTAAGTAAAAACGTAGTTAAAGGTCAACTCAGAGGTTTCACCAGAGAGTCGTCGAACGCTAGTAATATAGGCAAAGAGAGGGGTGCAGGTGATCAGATAAAATTATATTCAATATCTTACCAGTTAGTGCGAACGAGGAGCCGTTTAGATAGTTTGCAGAACCAGAGTAATCATTAAGATTGGTATAGTAAAGTGTCGAGGAGCTTACGCTGAAATAGCTTTGTTCTGGTGCACTGAGAAAATTAGTCCACCATCACAGGTGCAAAGAAAAAGGGATCTGTTTCTAAGAGCGAACCGAGACACCGTGCAAGTGATATTTTTTATAGCATTGCGAGGCATAAATTCACATTTATGCCATGTTTTTCTGTGGCATAAGTCGGACTTTATGGCACCGCTGCATTCGCATCGCACTCGCATAAGCTCGTGCACTAACATCACATCACGGTACGAGAAAGTGCGACCCCTGTCGGCGGCAACAGCGCAGTGCAGAGTGAGGAACTGACTCCAAAGCACGTCTACAGCTGAGTTATGTACGTCTGAAGGTTTAATATGCTTTTATACAGGAGTAATTTATTTTTCATAGTTAAAGCTAAGTTTTTTCCAATTAATCAGTAAATTTGATTGAGTTGTAAGCTGAGTTGTTTCCTTTAGTACATATACGAGTCCTTTAGGTAACTGGTGTTCTATTGATAAATACAGTAGGTCGTGTATCCTTGCAAAGAGTGAAGGTAATGCGAGCCGATTTGTTTTCATTGATCTTCAGCTTTGCTTCTTGATTCAACAGCTTTTGAAACCATTTTCTACTGTTGATAGATTTTCTCGTAGTTTTTTGAGGTGATCTGAGTCTGAATCTGTGCAAAGTAGTGCAGTTTCGTCTGCTGTTGTTGTAGTATTTAAAGATGGAATATCCGATGAATAAAAATGGTATTAAGTTGATCCATACACTGCCTTGAGGAACACCAGTATGAATATGGTAGAGTTTGGTCATTTTATTTTAATTTTCACCCACGACGTTGTATTTTCCAGATATGACTCCAATAACTGAAACAGGCCACCGTGGAGATTTATTTTGATTTTATGAAGAAGACGTGTGCCAGACCTTGTCAAAAGCTTGAGCCACGTCCAAGAAGATAGCTCAGCAGTACTGCTTCGTTTCGAAAGCTCTTCGAATATTTACTACTATTTTGCTCACTTGTTCAATGATACAGTTGTTTTTGCGTAAACCAAATTGTTCTGGGATTAATTTTCCATGCTGTCGTATCGGCTTAAGTTTACTAACAAGGAGACTTTTACGGCTGGAAGGCCATAAATATCTTAACAACGATACATGTTCTCTCTTTTTTATTACATTATTAGGAAAATATAAAATTTATATTATTAATAAAATACTACATAAGTAAAGTCTATTTATAATAAGACCAAGCCACCGGCCGGACGAGGGTATCATATTTTCATTATATGCGAGAAGAGAAGTGCCTGGCGTGAGACAATAAGTCTCGGATTTCAGGTACATATACGACTTAATTTATAAAAAGCATAGGTATGTAACGACTGTCGAGCCGCTACTTATTTTAAATAATATGAGATCTTAGTCTGGCGGGGAGAATGTATAGGTAGTAAATAAAAGGTCGTCTGCCTTCTACGGATTACAATAATTTATTACGCGACCCTTAAATACTAATTACAAAGGATAGATCTTAAACTACTCAACATACACCTACGGACGATTCTCGATGATCTTGACGATGACGTAAGTGCTGGCTCTGGTTGTCCTTCTGGAACTGGGCTCTTTGATAAGTGGCAATCCGTGCTCGTCGTTAGCGTACTCACTTGCACTTTACTTTAGCTCACACGACTAATTCTAGCTTTACAATTGAATGCTTTACAAGTTCAGAATGTGTGTAGATAACTAAAGTTGCGAATCAAACTGACAAGAGCTCCGCGCACTTTGATTACTAATTACAGAATCGCCCAGAGGCCTCCGCGGGTCCTCATTGTATACTACTAGATTTTGCATACAAAAATAGGAGAAAGTACCTGTCAGCACCTCCTCATCTGTGAGAACCTGACGACAGCTTTTACTAATTTTTACGAGTTTATTGGTCTTCCCGTTAAACTGACATCGCCTCAAATTTAATCAATGCTTTGTATGGCGTGTTCATTTCACACCTTTTGTAAGAGGTGTAGATTTCGATGTTCTTTTCGTAGAACTCGATGTTTTTACCAATTTTATAGTTTTATTTTTCACTTAGCTTGATGTCGTCAGATCCCGTAGATCGAGGCTAGCGCGTCCGCTCGCAGAGTGAAATCTCATGAATATCGCTATTTTAATATAAATTGTTAATAATAATTGCGTGGAACGTGACAGGTAATCGAATTAGATCTTGGCCGGCCGGACAAAGTAAATAGCTGACAAAGGAACACGAATTGAGGGAACCTCGACTTCAAACTTCTCTAGTGGATCGAAGTAACCACGGAGGTAGTCCTCGCGCGTCCATAACTATCTGGATTGTATAATTATTACAATTGCATCTTTGCTTTTGTTACAGTTACACCTTTTCTTTCTATCACACTTGAACCTTTGCATTTGTTCTAAGTGCACCTTTGCAATTAATTAAAGTCTGTTAATTTATACTGCTCCTTGACAATATTTTCCATAAAACTCTCAATAAGTGAAGTTTAAAGTAATATCAATTATAAGTGTCAAGAGCACCGAAGCAGGTGGTGGGGCGAGGTACTCACGGCTCGAGCGTTGTCCAAATAAAGCATTGTAAACCACGGTAAGTAAGTGGATGGGTGACCGCGAGGGAACCCATTCCGTCAAGCGCATAGCGCCCTCGCGCATTGCTCAGCTGTATTTGCCAGCGTCATCATGTGCTAGCGGGAGGTACCATAAAGGCACCGACCTACTCCGGTATGGGTTTTTCTCACTGAGTTGTTCCCCATATCACAACCCCGGGCAAATGCGGGGATGGATGGAGGGAAGGATTGAAAAAAGATAGGAAAAGGTTAGGAAAAACGTTAGGTAAAAATGGTTAAGTAAAGCTGAGAGTAACCCCCCCCCCAATATATATAAGTGGCAAGAGCAAGCATTACCGGAGCAACGAGACAATCGAGGCAAAGGCCGAATTTGAATAAAGTGTAATAAATACTAAAAAGTGAGTATCTTGATCATTAATATCCCTCATCAGCTATCGAATTTCTTCTTCTTCTAACTCTATTCTTTTTAAAAACAAACCTATTTCTCTCTCTTCACCAGGTTGAGTGCCAGAGCGCGCGGCTGCTCCCAATCGCAAGGGTGATTGGGACGGCAAGTGATTGCTCCCTGTCAGCTGCTTAGGCAGCGTGGTAGAGTAAAAATCCCTTGTGTGCTAAGGTCCTGCACGGGTCGGAGAGATCGATATATTGCGAGGCCGAAATAGACCCAAGGCTCGAAATCCGTGAGCGCTCTTGTACAAGGAGTCGTTGAAGAGCATACATCTTCCTGGCTCTCGCCAGCGAAGAAAAATAAGTCTAGGTCCCTACGGGAACCTAACAGAGACCATCCCAGCTCCAAGTCATGGATTTATCCCAAACGTACTAAGGGTATTTTGTAACCTAGAAAACATTCTCTGTGGGCTTAGTTTGATCTCATAGCTCGCGTGGAAATCAATCTGTGGTAAAATTATGGAAAAAATTATGACAAAATGATGGATTTAGCTCATTTCCCATAGTTTTACCATAATTTAAAAATCACGTGTCAAAAAAAAATGATGGGTAAACTATGGGGAACGGACTAAATCCATAATTTTTCCACAGTTTTATGTCAACATAGGAGGCCCCTGGAAGAAGTACAAACCCACATGCAATATTTAAATATTAATTATATGTAAACCCCCCTCTTTATTATCACCTGATGACTCAATACTTATTAAATCAAGTCCAAGCACCTTGAAAACACTAGGATTTGTACTTTTTCACGTCCAAAACACATGTAGAAAATACGAAATTTCAGCTCTATTGGCTCACTGTCCAAATTCAAATAAATAAACCAATCAGAGCCATAGTATGTGCCATTATGCAGTTATAACTATAATAAAACGAAACAATATTTGAAAAATACTACCACTTTTCGTTAAACTTCATTTACTTTCTTCTGATACATACATTTAAGTGTATAAAATAGGTAAAATTGCGTGTCCTTAAATAAAGGGCGTTCGTCTTGCATCAGTATTATTCCTTCGGTTTCCGTGATTTGTCTCGGTGGTGCTTGCTAAAATGTTAAGCCAAGTTTTTAGCTTTTTCTTGGTAAACAAAAATAAAAAAAAGTGCGGGTAAAATAATTTTAGTCTGGCTTGACAGATAATTGCCCGTATGTGTAATAAGAGATTTATAAAAATGGTAAAATAATTAACTTTAATTCAATTAATTTCATGAAATGTATAAGAACGTAACATTCATGAATTAACTTTGAGTTTTAAAGGTTTTCCAATTGTACACGAATTCAAAATCGGAAATTTTTTCAGGTCATATCTTTTTATTCCTCAAGTTCAGATAATTATGAGGCTGAAATACTATTATTAATTAAACGCATTAAAAAAATTGAAAGTGAAATTTTGAAGTTTCAAGAAGCACATTTTACTTCAAATTACATGCTTAGAGTATTGAAACAAAAATTAATTAATTTGAAAAATAAAATCACAGAATCTGTACTGTTTAGATCCAAACAAGGTAAGAATATCCATTTCTAATATGATGTAATGATTACATAGTCCTACAAATAAAATTTTCACGACTAGAGGATTAAAGGTGGATACCACATAGATCAAACAACGATTCCGCGTGGATCAGACATAGATGTGGCGTCGTGCCATAATATTTCGCCTCTGCGCCGGTAGGCGCGCGCGGCGCGAACCCCCTCTCGCTGGCGGGTCGCTGCGTCGGGCCGCGCAGCGAGAGGCCAGATAGTATCCGACCGCTGAAGCGAGCGCACGGCCTAGCCTCTCTCTGCCCGTTCGCTCCAGTTGTATCATCAGTTAGCCGAACAATAAATCGAGTTCGCTCAGTACCTTGTTGTTCGTTCGGAGTTTTCTTTCTTTCTCCTGCCCAAATATTTCTCTCGCTCGTTCGCTCTCTGCCACGCGGACAACGGGAACACGCAACGTTGCGACGAGAGTGTGGACTCGTCGCCCCCCAGGAACTGCTGGAGTCAGCCGGGGTAATTCATCGAGTACTCTTCCACAATAGATACCACGTGGATCATACATGCTTTCAAAAAAATTCTAACTCGGTGGATATTGACTTCTCCAGCTCTTCGGGGATCTTGGACTTTTTTCGCGAGCCCGCTTAAAGTACCTTCGAGGCTATGTCAGTGAATCCTTGTGGATTAATTGAAAATTTACGTATGTATTTTATTAGTCAACGAGGCGTTTCGCGGAAATCTACGTAGGTATTTTGTCAATTAACTTGACTTACCTACAATCTATTTGATCCACGTGGTATCAATGTCAGATCCTCGAGGAATCTATAAATAATCCACATGGAATCGGTGTGTTTATTTACGCGGGTATAAATGCAATTTTTTTCAATTGGTTAAAGAAACAAAATTCAATTTTTCAATAGAAACCCAAATTTTTTATTAAAAATTTAAAAAGAGCGAAAAATTTTAAAAATTGAAAAAAAAATATTCGTTGATTCCTTTTGTAGCTCAGAATTTTTTACTTTAGAACACTCTGAAAAACAGTAATTTCTAAGTGAAAAAACTTTATCTTTCAATAGAGAACATGAAAAAATAAAAAAAAGATTATTTTTTGAGATATTTAACTTTGAGGTATATTTTTCTATTTAAAGAGAACGAAAGAGGTAAAGTAACAATTTTTTTGAAAATTTTGCTTTGCTTGAAAAGAAGAGACTTAACTATTGATCATTACAACTGATATTTAATTTTTAATTACAATTTTATGTTCATTCATATACATTTCTACAATAGTTGATCAACTTCACATGTTATTTAAGGTTTCATTCTCTTTTACAACTTTTTCCGATTTAAAACAGAAATGAAAAAATATTACAAGAATTGTAAAGAAAATATATGTTTATGACTTCACTGAATAGATTTAATAACTTTTTACAGGTTTGAATAAAAATTTTTCATCCATTAAATGGATTGAAAAAATATTTGAAACATCCAAACTTCCACTAACAAAGCACGATAAAATGTATCCAAACACTTTGTGAGTATTTTGAATATATATATTAATATTATACAATAATTTGAAAACAATGGAGTGCATAATTTGCTTTACATAACAAGTACGTCTTACATCTTACGATATATCTGTTGCTTCATTATAGGAATTTTTTCTTTATAGAGGTAAAGAAAAATAAAAAAAAGGGTACATGACTCAGAGGTGAGACACCTGTTGCATATATTTCGATAGCAGAATAATGTTGAGCATTGAAGATGAAATACATCTTGGTGTGTGTAAACACTGTTTACATTATTTACAAAGATCTGTCTCTCCGCGAGTAAATCTAGAATTTTCTAATACTAAAGTAATAACATCGTACGAGCAAGCAGAATTATAACGGATCTCGTTCCTCGGAGCGGGTATTCTTTGTTTTTGTCGTGCATAGTAGCAAGCTTTCGTCAACTTTACAACCAAGCTTCGATCGTTCGTGTCGACACGTTCGAGTCTGTCACTTGTGTTGACATTCAAAAAAATTCATGATTTATTCTCGCCATATCTTTCTTTTCGTTTAAGCTCGCTTATTGAAATTTTTCTGAGCAAGAACTTGTGAATATATAGTCAGTATACCCATTGTGTTTTGTACCTGGCTAACTACATACTTATTTGTACTGCTCCATTCTAGCAAACGATCTTGTGTTGGCGTACAGTGCGTTATGCACTGTTCAATGTGAACAAATTTTTCTGTACATGCTGTACATTACTGTGAAATTCTTATTACTCAATGCGAGCAAACAATTTTGTGCACGCGCACACGATTAATAGACTGCAGTTACATATATTAGCCCTTTATCGGCTTAATTATTTTTTTAGTCCTTTATTGGCCGATATTTTTCAAGTCAATTTGACTTTTTTTCTGCTTTGGTGCGAGGTGTAAAGGTACTCTGCTGTGCCCTTTATTTACCGGCCTTCTGTTACGATACATCAACGGTGCTTATGAAAAAAACACAATTAAATGTGTTATAAAAAATAACCTGTTTGTTAAACGCCATGAAGAAAAACACTCTTCATCGAAACGTCGTGAAGAAAAATACGTCTCTTCTAAACGCCTCAAAGAAAAAATGTCCAATTGAAATGCTGTGAAAAAAACCCCACTCAATGAGTGTTGTTAGGACTATATTATAGAAAAAAATACGTGTCTTTTATCTGTATCGCGGAGATCTGGCCCTTTTCTGACAATTGAAACGCCTCGAAAAAAAGCCTCTTAGTTAGTAAGTAAACCAAGTACAGTTTTTTCATTTATAATCAAATCAATCAATCACATTTTTTGTGCAAATTATCAATTAATTATTTGAACAAAAGATTGCCAAATCTTTGTCAAGAAACGTCAAATATTTTTAGAAAAAATAAAATAAAAAAAATTAATACTGAAAAAACCATACTGAATTATTGTTCAGATGCAAGTTCGAATTTACAATGCGCCCAAGTATGCTAATAGTTTTATATATTAGAGGAATTTCACGTCAACTCTTCCAGTGCCGTACCACACGGTATTTAATAGTCGAATTCTCAGCTTCTGAATGAGATATTTTTCTTCACGGCTTTTCGATAAGACGTGTTTCTCTTCACGGCGTATCGATGAAGAGTGTTTTTCTTCACGGCGTTTCATTGTCATAAGTTTTTCTTTGTGGTGTTTTACTGATACAAATGTTTTTCATAAGCACCGGCGACATATAGTGCCTTTTGCTTACCACATTGCGATGATAAAGTCAAGTAGCCGATTAGGCACAATATATGAAAACTTTATAGTGCAAATTATTTTACTGACTAAATGTGCAAACAGTTATACTTCTGTTTCTCGTGTTACTGTTGAATTTCTTAATATGGAAAATGAGAGATTTGTTGTCGCTCGCGTGGATGAAGTTTTTTTATCAGTTTCAGAACTCTAGCAAAATGATTCATAAGATCGATGGGAGCGGGACAAAATCTCTGGCGACACAATCTCCGCGACTAAATCTCCGGGACAAAATCTCCGGGCGACTAAATCTCCGCGACATAATCTCCGGGGACAAAATCTCCGCCGAATTTAATTTTATATTATTATTTATTATTAGATGTTTATTCCGTTTCCACGGAACGATGTTTATACGCTCTTCCTTAATTCTTTGTTTACCTCATGTGTACTTCTATGTATTACCTGTGTATTAGCTGAGACATTGTCTTAGTGTTTATTAGCCAGTCAGATTGGTCAGTCTAATTTGCTCGTTTGCTCGTGTCGTGTATTTCTGCTTATAGTCAAAATGCCTTTATCATTTACTCTAAGTCAAAAAGGCAAAAAACAATTGATTTACAATAATTTCATGTATTCGTTACACAGTGAAACTGTGAATAAGTGTTATTGGGTGTGTTCAGGTGCAAAAAAATTATTGGCTTCTTCATTGAAGGCAACGTCATCAACATCTTCAACGAAGACCACACTCATGAGATTGAGGCTTCTGAGATTGCTGTGGCAAAATTAAAAACCAAAATACCGAAACGCGCAGTGAAAAGTGCCGACGTGCCTGCCAATATTGTAGCAGCGGCAACTTGCAACATTTCTGCTACCACATCATCGTTGCTGCCTACAAGCAAGTCGTTATGTCGCACCATTCAACGTACGCGCAACAAAGTCATGGACGCACCGGCGGGGCCCGACGATGTTTCTTCATTAATTATTCCACCAATGTTTAAGAGCACAATCAGAGGTGCAAATTTCTTGCTTCATGACGGCATGCTTGATGACCAGCGAATTTTAATATTTTCGACTAAGTCTAACTTATCTGTGTTGAAAAAATGCTCCGTATGGCAAGGCGATGGAACATTTGACACAGTACCCTCGCTGTTTCATCAATTGTACACCATTCACGGACGCTACAAAGATCATCTTATTCCACTAGTGTATATTCTGTCAACCAATCGTACAAAAAAAACCTACTGCTACATATTTAACGAATTAAACAAGCTAAAGCGAGGTTTAGATCCGGTTACATTCATTGCTGACTATGAACTTCCGATACTACATGCCTAATTGCAATCAGTATATCCCTCGGTTGAAATCCATGGATGTTTTTTTCATTTTTCTCAATGTGTCTGGCGTTGTATACAACGCTCAAAGCTACAAGTAAGATTTCATTATTTTCATCTTACCATCTTCATTTCAACTACATGAAGTACATTTATTTACAGACCACTTATCAATCAGACGAAGATTTCGCTTTAGCAGTAAGAAAATTGTTGGCTTTGGCTTTTGTACCTGTGTGTGATGTTGTCTCTGCGTATGATACTCTGACCAACACTCCTTATTTTATGGACAACCAACTACTACTACAACCGGTACTACAGTACTTTGAAGAAACGTGGATAATGATAAGAGGCCGCAAACGTGCTCCCCCGAAATTTTCAATACCCTTATGGAACTGCTACGATGTTGTCTTGTCTAATTTGCCACGTACCAACAATGGTGTTGAAGCTTGGCATCGTGGCTTTTCATACAAGCTTTATCAATCGCACGCATCTATTTGGAAATTCATAAAGGCTTTGCAAACCGAGCAGAGCATCCAGGAGAATAAGCTCGCCGACATCAACAGTGGAAAACTCGTTCCACAACGCAAGCGCAAGTACGTCAACGTGGACACTTGCCTGCAACGCGTTGTCAGCAGCTACGCAGAGACTGATATATTGCAGTACCTTCAGTCTATATCTGTTAATGTGTTCTTTTTTAATTCCGATAAACGTCATAAGAATGACTTCGATTAATAGTTATTATATCATGTTAGTTACGTGTCCTTCTGTTGTATATGTTACCGGCAAAATCCGCTTTTAGGCAAAAGTGACTTTTGCCTAGGCAAAAACAAAAATGCCTAAAATTTTAGGCAAAAACCGCAATGCCTAAAAAAGTATAGTAAATTCCTAAATTTTTTAGGCAAAGCCCGCAATGCCTAAGCAATTTTAGGCAAAACCCGCAATGCCTAAAAAATTTTAGGCATTACTGTAAACATTAACACGTTAGTATACGATTAGTCAGCATCTAAGTCGGACTTATTTGTTAGTTGTGTTTATAACCCAATATGGATACAGCTTATACTCTCACTAGTTACTTAACTTAAAATAAAGTAAAAATGGAAATGGAAATCGATAATTGGAAAAATCAGTTTGTCGCCGGGGCTAACGAAAATGAATATTATAAATGTTATAAATACCGACTTATCGTCAATATCAAAACAGGTAGTAGTATTAAATACTATGTACCACTTGAAGATGTCTTTGATATAAATCAAGCCGTGCATATTGCGACCGGACATGGTAGGCGCGATAGGCTTTTGAAAGAAACATCGATCAAGTATTCCAACTTCACAAGAGAATTGATTGAGTTATACTTAAAAATGTGTGAAGTCGGTCACCAGAAAAAAATAAAGAGAAGGGGGTTGGTATCCAAACCAATTTTCCATTCAGAAATGAATAGTAGATGCCAGATGGACTTAATTGACTTTCAATCATCAAGTGTCCATGGGTTTAAGTTGATAATGGTATACCGTGACCATTTGACGAAATTTGTAGTTCTGAATGCATTAAAAACAAAACTTTTGTATTCAAATAAATACGTATTTTTTGACTTTACATTAATTTTTTACTTAAAATTATTAGCTCGCAGTAATCCCTAAAATTTTTTAGGCATTGCGGGTTTTGCCTAAAAAATTGTAGGCATTGCTGGCAATGCCTAAGATTTAGGAAGTTCATATATTTCTGCGGTTTTTGCCTAAAATTTTAGGCATTTCTGTTTTTGCCTAGGCAAAAGTCACTTTTGCCTAAAAGCGGGATTTGCCGGTAACATATACATAAATGTTCGTCGTTTTTTCGTTACTACAATCGTCGATATGTTGTTTGTATTTCGCTGTCTGACGCGTTCACTATTTGGTGTTGACCGTTATTTAACTGTCGTGACCTATTCATATTAGTCGTTTATTGTTCAAACCGTTACTTGTTATTAAATGTTTACAAGTACTTTC